GGCAGGACAGTAGTACCCCCCTGGGCAGTTGCTGTCTATCAACCTACTGTCTAGGACTCAAAAATTTACATATTTATAATAAAACATCAGCAACCTTGATGATTGAGACACTTGTGCAACATTTGTGTATCTTTATTGTGGAAATGTTTCACCAGCCAGTGGCTTTGTCAGTCCAGTACAGAGAAGAATGGTGGAAGATGAGAAGGAGTTTGAAGCAGTCAGTCCCTCATCCTGGAGATGTGTTCAGGCAGAACACACCATCATATCCAAATACTGCACAAGTGTCTCATTCAGCAGCATGGCAGTTTTCTAAACCATTTATTTAATAATACCAACAGCTTTATTGGGTTTAGCACTTCTTGAAATACGTTGCAATACCTGTGTGTGTGTGTGTGTGTTTGTTAAATAATATTTACATGTAGATTCTCTCATTCAATAGGTGGAGATGCTGAAATATCGCTTGGATGACCTGAAAAAAAAGAACCAAGAAGAAAGAAGGAAAATGACTGAGGCATTGTCATATGAAGTGTGGAGGAAAAACTGTCCACAAGCAAGGCAGGTAAGGCTACATACAAATAATGGGATGAGTGTCCTTTCTGTTACTGAGTATGGCTGCTAGATCTATTCCTCAGCCAGCTCTTCCTTGCTGCACTTGCTAAATCCTCTCCATCACCTAGAATTACTGTATAGCTTTTCATGAGTATATTCCATATCTTTCCTCATGAGAGCTTCTTATGATGAGATTAGTGAGCTTACATTGGATCTCTGGTGTGAGGAGCTGGGTTTGTGTTTTAGGTTCAGGATTCACCTGGGAACCCAGTTATTCTGCAGTCTTCATAGTAGAGGAAGAAAGGGGCCCTTTGCTCATCATGTAGGGTTTCCTGTGCTGTTTGTTAAAAGTAAGCTGCTCTTATGTTGTGGCCTCAGTGTGTCAGCAGTCATGAAGGTTGGGTTCTTTCTGTTCTCCTTGGACTGTGCCTGCAGTATATCTTTACAGGCAGTGGATGGGAACTTCATATTGCTGGTCTTCATTGATGACTTTGGTAAATTTCTTGGAACATGATTTTGTTCATGCTTCATGGATTGAGGTCTTTATTGATGAGTCATTGAGTAAGGGTGGTGTTGACTTCGCAGAGATCAATTGTGAGGACTTATACTGTCCACAATTACCAAACTAGTCCTCAGTGTTCATTGCAGAGCTCCACATAATCCTTGCCACTCTCATTCTGATAGCTGGCCTAAATGGCACTCGGTTCATTGTCTGCTCTGATTCTCAGTGAACCTTGTTTGCCCTGGCCCAGTATGATTTGGTTCGCCCTGTAGTCCAAAAGATCCAGGAGTGGTTAGCCTGTCTCCACAAACTGGTGTGATACTATTTGTGTTGAGTTTTTATTCTAATAGTTTTTTATCATTTGTTAATTTTGTTTGTATTCTTATGTGTGTTGTATTTAGTTTTACTGACAAGAGCACTGCCTGAATTACAGTCAAAGTGCTCCTCAGATTTCAAAATTACCTAATTGATCTTGAGATCATTTTAGCTTGAGAGGTATTTATCATATTTCTTCTTCTTCTTCTTCTTCTTCTTCTTTCAACGAACTAGCCATATCCCACCAAAACAGGGTGGCCTGCAAGATCACCGGACCTAACTATTTGTGACTTCTTTCTTTGGGGGAACGTAAAGAGCACAGTTTACATACCACCACTACCTGCATCCCTGGAGGAGCTGAAAATTTTGATCACTGAAGCAGTTCACATGAAAACACCAGATATGCTGCAGAGCGCCTGGACCAAACTGGACTATCACATCGATGTTTGCCAAGCAACCAGAGGGGGACACATTTGAGTGCCTTTAATGCTACCCTATACCACATGAAATTGAATGAAATCCTGCATCTGAAGCTACTAACTGTGAAAGATTATTACAATAAAGTTACATGTTATACCTCTTTGAAATCAGGGAGTGTTTTTGTGGATATCCTGTACATAGTCATTTGTTGCTAATTTGATGTATAGTATTTCTAGGCCTAAATAACCCAGCTACAAATCCCATTCATTTCTTATCTTCTTACAAGGCATTTTTCCATTGTACTATAATAAATTCCCAGTGAATATTTCTTGTGTTTACTCTAACATGGTTTGGACATGAGGGGAATTGAGAATTATTTTTAATCCAAAGGAAATGAATAGAAATAATTTGCAACAGCTGCTGTATTAGATAGAACAGTAATTTATTAATTTTTTTTTTATTTAACAAATTCCATATTTTACATCAGATGGAATCAGACAGGTTCAATCATTTTGTTCAAGAAGCCTGGGTCAACCAACGCCAGTGGAAGGAGGATGAAAGGCAGCGGAGACTTGAAGAAGATCATAAGAAAGACATTGAAGCAGCAGCTATTAGGCAGCGACTGGAGGAAGAGGACAGAAAAGCAGAAGAGGAGAAGCTGAAGAAGCAGGCAGAATGGAAAGTTGAGTTAGAAGCTCAAGTAGAACAAATAAAGTAAGAAAACGTATTCATCAGGGTTAAAAGTTTCTTTAGCTAATTCTGTATCCGTACCTTCAATATATAAAAAAGAAATGAGAATATAGGCATACTGTGAATGTAATGAATTGTGTAAGGGGTATGAGGAATCAAACTAATTTGTTGTTCCTTTCTGAAATTTATGACATTTCTATTACTTATAATATTAATGGTGCATTTATTTATAACAAATCAGTATGCACAGTACTAGTTATGACAAGATTATGATAAAAATCAGTATGTACAGAACTAGTTATGGCGAGATTATGATAAAAATCAGTACATGTACAGAACTAGTTATGGCGAGATTATGATAAAAATCAGTACATGTACAGAACTAGTTATGGCGAGATTATGATAAAAATCAGTACATGTACAGAACTAGTTATGGCGAGATTATGATAAAAATCAGTATGTACAGAACTAGTTATGACGAGATTATGATAAAAATCAGTATGTACAGAACTAGTTATGACGAGATTATGATAAAACTATAATATGTAATCACTTAAGAAATATGGCACTAAATTATACAAGAAACTGCAAATTGAGAGATGCACTAAATCAAAGCTTTCCACTTGGCTTGCATGCTTAATATTAATCATATTCCTAAATATTTCTGATTTGCTAACTATTCATTTCTTGGGTTTCAGTTACTTACAAACCTTCACTTATTCTCTTTTTATACATCATAAACTTGGGTAATACTTCATCAGTCCTGTCAGGCACAAAATTCTGTCATCCATCTCATTCCATTGTTTACTTAATAAAAGTTTTCTTTTAGATTTAGTAATTTTTATTGTTTATTTAGCTGTTTATTTTCACATCATTTACTGGCAGACCATTTGCATAAATTAGAAATATCATGGCAAGTACTGATTCTAGTGGGATCCCAATGGTGACAATTCCCAATGAGGTTATTTTTCCTCCTATTGCTGTTAATATTTTCCTTTCCTTCAGAAAATCTTTCATTATAATAATTTGCATTTTTTTTCTATTTTGTAGTTTTCATGTTAGTCTTTTAGAGAGACCTTTTTTCAAAAGCTTCTTGGAAATTTAAATATAATCAGTCCATCCATTTTTTGCATAATTTCTGTGGCTGTCACAGTATTTTTCTCATTAGAAGCTATACTGTTTCATAGTAAGTTTCCTCTGTGCTGGATATTTTCATTTTAACAATACAGCCTGTCACTGAGACAGACCTGTAGTTTAAGTGTCTTCTCAAATACAGTGCTTTGAATGTTCAAAATCAAATCAAAGAAAATTCAAATACAGTGGAACCTCTGTTTCGTATGCTCTGGTCTGTATGTAAAACTGTAGTTATTCTCTATAAAATGTAGTTTTTGTTAATATTTTTGGGTGTATGGAATGGATTAATTGGATTTACATTATTTCTTATGGGAAATAGTAACAAAAAATACATTTTATAAAGAATAACTATAGTTTTACATACAGCTTAGGGCAAGACACTACTAAAGTCACTTTCAGACTTCACAATGAGGCAGCCATTAATAACTTCACAGCAGCAGTGACAAACAATGACTGGCACACTGAGCTAGAAATATATACAGATATTGATGAGTGTATTAATAATTTTCTAAAAAAGACCCAATATCTCTATAACAAGCACTGCCCTAAAAAAACTAAACAAATGACAGCTAAGAGACTGAACAGTCCCTGGCTAACACCCAGCATCCTCAAATCCATAAATACAAAGCACCTGTACGAAAAACAGTACAGAATGGGTCACATAACCAGAGACCAAACAAAACGTTACTCGTCAATCCTAACCAGCCTGATAAGAAGGGCTAAAAAATTGTATTATGAGAACAGATTATCCAACTTATGATATCCAACTTCTCTCACCCGAGCCCAGTCACACTAGCCAATACTGTAAATACCGAATTACAGAAAATATCTACCTGAATGAGGACTAACAAATCTCTCTAAACATTGACAAAACCTACTTCATTCAGTTTGGTAACAGAGCTACAGATGTCCCTCTTAACATAATGATAAATGGATCACCTATCACAAAACTCACAGAGGGAAAATTCTTAGGAATCCACCTTGATAATACAGTGGACCCCCGCATACCGTTGGCATCACATAACGTTAAATCCGCATACCGATACATTTTATCGCTAAGATTTTGCCTCGCATACCGCTAAAAAACCCGCTCAACGCTATTCGTCCGAGACGCGTCTAATGTGCGGCATGAGCCAGCCTCACATGTTCCGCCAGTGGCATTGTTTACCAGCCAGCCTCCGCGGTAACATCCAAGCATACAATCGGAACATTTCGTATTATTACAGTGTTTTTGGTGATTTTATCTGCAAAATAAGTAACCATGGGCCCCAAGAAAGCTTCTAGTGCCAACCCTACAGGAATAAGGGTGAGAATTACTATAGAGATGAAGAAAGAGATCATTGCTAAGTATGAAAGTGGAGTGCGTGTCTCCGAGCTGGCCAGGTTGTATAGTAAACCCCAATCAACCATCGCTACTATTGTGTCCAAGAAAACGGCAATCAAGGAAGCTGTTCTTGCCAAAGGTTCAACTGTGTTTTCGAAACAGAGATCGCAAGTGATGGAAGATGTTGAGAGACTCTTATTGGTGTGGATAAATGAAAAGCAGTTAGCAGGAGATAGCATCTCTCAAGTGATCATAAGTGAAAAGGCTAGGAAGTTGCATGAGGATTTAATTAAAAAAATGCCTGCAACTAGTGATGATGTGAGTGAATTTAAGGCCAGCAAAGGTTGGTTTGAGAGATTTAAGAAGCGTAGTGGCATACATAGTGTGATAAGGCATGGTGAGGCTGCCAGTTCGGACCACAAAGCAGCTGAAAAATATGTGCAGGAATTCAAGGAGTACACAGACAGTGAAGGACTGAAACCTGAACAAGTGTTTAATTGTGATGAAACAGGCCTGTTTTGGAAGAAAATGCCAAGCAGGACCTACATTACTCAGGAGGAAAAGGCACTCCCAGGACATAAGCCTATGAAAGACAGGCTTACTCTGTTGATGTGTTCCAATGCTAGTGGTGATTGCAGAGTGAAGCCTTTATTAGTGTATCACTCAGAAACTCCCAGAGCGTTCAGGCAAAAGAATATCCTCAAGGCTAATTTGTGTGTGCTGTGGAGAGCAAACAGTAAGGCATTGGTCACTAGGGACTTTTTCTATGACTGGTTACACCAAGCATTTGCCCCCAATGTGAAAAATTACCTAACTGAAAAGAAATTAGACCTTAAGTGCCTCCTGGTGTTAGACAATGCCCCTGGTCATCCTACAGACGTGGCAGAGCGACTTTATGGGGACATGAGCTTCATTAAGGTGAAGTTTTTGCCTCCTAATACCACTCCTCTCCTGCAGCCCATGGACCAGCAGGTTATTACAAACTTCAAAAAACTGTACACAAAAGCTCTGTTTGAAAGGTGCTTTGTAGTGACCTCAGAAACTCAATTGACTCTAAGAGAGTTTTGGAGAGAGCACTTTAATATCCTCAATTGTGTAAACCTCATAGGTAAGGCTTGGGAGGGAGTGACTAAGAGGACCTTGAACTCTGTTGGAAGAAACTGTGGCCAGAATGTGTAGACAAAAGGGATTTTGAAGGGTTTGAGGCTAACCCTGGGAATCCTATGCCAGTTGAGGAATCCACTGTGGCATTGGGAAAGTCCTTGGGGTTGGAGGTTAGTGGGGATGATGTGGAAGAGTTGGTGAAGGAGGACAATGAAGAACTAACCACTGATGAGCTGTTAGATCATCTTCATCAGCATGAGGCCAGACCTGAGGAAACTGCTTCGGAGGAGGGGAGAGAGAAATTGAAGAAGTTGCCTACTTCAAAGATTAAGGATATGTGTGGAATGTGGCTTAAAGTGCAAACCTTTTTTGATGACAATCACCCTAACACAGCTATTGCAAGCCGTGCTGGTGACTATTACACTGACAATGTTGTGAACCACTTTAGGAAAGTCATAAAGGAATGGGAGGTACAGGCCTCTATGGACAGATATGTTGTGCGACAGAAGTCCAGTGACTCTGAAGCTGGTCCTAGTGGCATTAAAAGAAGAAGGGAAGTAACCCCGGAAAAGGACTTGACACCTCAAGTCTTAATGGAAGGGGATTCCCCTTCTAAACACTAAGACTCTCTCCTCCTCCCATCCCATCAATCATCACCAGATCTTCAATAAAGGTAAGTGTCATGTAACTGTGCATGTCTTTTTCAGTTTGTGTGTATTAAAATTAATATTTCATGTGGTAAAATTTTTTTTTTCCATACTTTGGGGTGTCTTGCACGGATTAATTTGATTTCCATTATTTCTTATGGGGAAAATTCATTCGCATAACGATAATTTTGCATAACAATGAGCTCTCAGGAACGGATTAATATCGTTATGCAGGGGTCCACTGTAGACTCAAATTTCAAACACATATACAACAAATTTCCCAAAAAAATTCCAAGATTGTAGGCATACTATCGAAGATACGGTACTATGTTCCACAGTCAGCCCTCCTGGCCCTATATCACTCACTTATTTACCCCTAACTCACCTATGGAATTTGTGCAGGGCTAAACAACAAAAAACCCCACCAGACCACAAATTTCCCCCAAAAAAAGCTGCAGTCAGAATGATAACAAATTCCCCAAACAGGCAGCATACCCCCACCAAAATTCAAAACTAAAAACCTACTTTTACTTTGGTTTCCCTTATTTCTTGGTTTAAAGGTTTTCTCACACATGTTCTAGTGGGGGTAGTTTTCTTAATGGCCTTATTTTTCTAGGGGTAATACTTACATCATGGCTATCCTTGAGTGTCCGATACCCTTTCCCCCACCCCTTCACGGGTTATGTAAACTACTACTAAAAAAAATATAACTTATTCTAAAATAGATATGAAGAATATACAATCACAGCCTCCATTTTCAAACCAAAATTCACACCCCAGCTGTGCTCCCATGGTTGTTGCAACAACCTTTCCTT